GTCACCATGGCTTTGTCCTGAAGGTCTCCTGGTCTAATTAGCATATTACCCTTTTATTAGAATAGATAGGGAATATAAAGGGTTTCGTTAATAGTAGTGTGATTATATATTCTCTGTCTAAACTGGGGCACTTGATCCTAAAAGAGGAGGTGCTAAAATAAGTTGAATTTCTAATAACTTAATTTTCTAATTGCTGTAAAATAATGTTACCAAACACATAAAACTATTTTTAGGTATTTGATAAGAAAACCTCTATCAATTTGTCTGTGAGGTACAGTATCCTGTCCAGCACATCTTGGGCTCACCAGGCCTACCTCTCTAGAGGTAATGACCAGTGCTTCTCTCTAGTTTCTCTTCCCTGATGTCTTTCCTTCATTAGTTACCCCTTAAAAAAAGATAAGTATGCATTTATATTGAAATAAATAGTAAAACTACTATTTAGTATAGTATAACTTAAAACATTAGAAACATTAAAAATTGCTGTTTCTTTGTAAAAAAATTATCAAGAATGAGTGTTGGCTTTACCTTCGCATCTTTTCTATGCTTTGGTGGCTTTCAACATGCTATACCCTTTGCATGTTGAATGTCATGAAATATCTCCAAGAATTACTTTAATTTGAAGTATTTTCCTGGAGTCACTTCCTCTGGGACATCCTTTTCATCACAGAGACTTTTCTCATTGATGCTGATAAGTTTTGCTTTTGCTAAGTTCCTCTGGCTGCACATTCTAGAAGTGCTCAAACTGCAACCATGTCATCATTGCCACAACCAACTATTTCTTCTGTAACTGCATTTACATTGGATTAGAATTTCACTTCTAGCATATCACTTTTCATGTTTTTGCTACACCTTCTTCTTTGTTGTTAAGTTTCCACTTTGGATTATCCATATGTTATAATGTCATATGGATTTATCACTGGGTGTCAAGAAGGTAACCACTTATACTTTTGTCTGTTTGTTGTACAGTGACCAATTACCAACAGACTTTGAAAGAAGGGACGTGATTGGTCACTGATAAAGTTGTTTATCTGTCGTTTGTGATGATTTGTGGACTGAAGAACTGGCATTGAAGTTTGTACTCTATACTCACAGTTGATATGTTAATGAAATTTGAGCCATGTTTTTGGGGGCTAATCTTAGTTAAATAAACCTTGGAATAAAACATGATAACAAATTTGTGCATATCAGAATCATGCAAAGTGAAAACTGCCTGTAATGTGCAAAAAACAAACAGGTTGAACTTGGATTTGGTGAAAAACGTGAAGGTGTTAATGAGACTGAATGGCATAGTAGGCTTTCGAAAATACTTTATTCTTTTTTTTTCTTTACTTAAAAATATGTATTGAGATGCATATAGATTAATTGAAAAGAACAACAGTATTAATGAATCCAAAGCAGGGTTTTATTTTATTTTTATTTATTTATTTTATTTTTTCCAGTGGGGTGGTGGGGGCTTGCCCGGGCTGGGAAAGGATGGGGAGGGGATCAATTGGGAAAAAAGGAGATATAGGTAAAACTTTAGACAATAAAAGAAAAATAGTTTATTCTTTACCAAAAAAATAGATTAAGATTAAGGGATTGTAGATATATTCCTTAAAGTGCATTGTGTGTGTGTTAGTGTTTGTATGTGTGAAGGCAAAGGTTTGGAAGGAAAAAAGTTTTAGTATTTCTTGCACTAATATATTCTGTAAACTGCTTTCTGTGACCTGATTTTTCTACATTGCTCAGTATTCCTAATTAAAACCATATTTATGATCCGAGTAATTCTTTCTGGCCTGCGATTGGCCTTTTGCAAATCCTCCTCTATAGATGGTTGTGATGATTTGTGGACTGAAGAACTGGCATTGAAGTTTGTACTCTATACTCACAGTTGATATGTTAATGAAATTTGAGCCATGTTTTTGGGGGCTAATCTTAGTTAAATAAACCTTGGAATAAAACATGATAACAAATTTGTGCATATCAGAATCATGCAAAGTGAAAACTGCCTGTAATGTGCAAAAAACAAACAGGTTGAACTTGTTTGTGGACTGAAGAACTGGCATTGAAGTTTGTACTCTATACTCACAGTTGATATGTTAATGAAATTTGAGCCATGTTTTTGGGGGCTAATCTTAGTTAAATAAACCTTGGAATAAAACATGATAACAAATTTGTGCATATCAGAATCATGCAAAGTGAAAACTGCCTGTAATGTGCAAAAAACAAACAGGTTGAACTTGCTTTTTTTTTTTTTGTAGCAGAAGTGTTAGTGGTGTTGCCATAACCCAGTGGTTCTCAACCTGTGGGACCCCTTTGGCGGTCAAACCAGTTTGGCTCTGCATAGAGCGTCGGCCTGCAGACTGAAGGGTCCCAGGTTTGATTCCAGTCAAGGGCATGTACCTTGGTTGCCAACACATCCCCAGTGGGGGTTGTGCAGGAGGCAGCTGATCGATGTTTCTCTCTCATCGATGTTTCTAACTATCTCTCTCCCTTCCTCTCTGTAAAAAAATCAATAATATATATATATATAAAAAAGAAGTGTTAGTGGTGTTATGAAATCTGCATTTATTTTTTCACGAGAAGAGAAAGGATTATACAAGAGCCAAAAAGACTAACTTACACTTTTTTTAATGTGCAAATTTTACAACTGGAGGTGGGAAAAACTCAAAATATGTTCATTGTATACATGTAGAACATAACAAAGAATATAGAGGGCAATATTTAAGATCGCCTAAAGTGCTATCACTCAGATACAACCTTTGTTAATACTTTGGTGTATATCTGTTTAGACTTTTTTTCATACATGCACACATACACTATAGTGTTTTACACAATATATTTAAAAATGAAACCATAGTGTATATGCTTCCTCCAAGTGGATTTCCAGTGTATATACACATTTAAAAAGCTTTTTCATAAGTTCAGATATTCAGAACAGCATAGAGACTAGATTAAAATGAATGTACCTATCACTTTTTTTTTTTTAGTCTTCACCTAAGATATGTTTTTATTGATTTGAGAGAGAGGAAGGGGAAGAGAGAGACATCAGTGTGAGAGAAACAGCGATTGTTTCCCGTCTGTGCTCCTACTGGGGATCTATCCCGCAACCTAGGTTTAGGTATGTACCCTGACCGGGAATCCAGTCTACAACTTTTTAATGTACAGGATGATGCTCCAGCCAACTAAGTTACTCGGCCAGGGCACTATCACCTGACTGATTTCAGTACATAAGCAGTCGTGTTTTATCCATACCCACCTACACTTGCATTCCTTTGTACCCAGTTCCAGGAAAATATTTCAGCACACAGAGTTAATTTTATGTTTTACCAGAT